CAAAGCTGTCCTTGGAGAACGCTTGGCTCACGCGCTCCACGTTCTAGCATCGCCTCAGCTGTGCAGTGTGGGGCCTGGGCAGAGATACCAGCCAAGCCGGCGTCTGCTTGGCTCTCCCTGGCCTCTCGGAAGTAAAGGCTGGTTCCGGTGTGGGCTTCCCGGGGGCTCCTCTTTCACACAGATGCCGTGAAACATCACCTTCCCATCCAGCTGCCCAGCCAGCCAAAAAGGGCACAGCCCCCCGGGCTGGCGAGCCGGGTGCGCGCTCTGCTCTATGCTGCATCCCAGCTTCCTCACACATGTGTGTGTGTGAGCGGCACAGACTGTCATCCACCAAAGTCATCCAGAGCCCGTCATACACATGGACTCACGTGGAGGAGCGTGTTTCAAAGCCAGTTACTGCCTTTCCCTCTTACAGAGTCTTAGTTAGCGTGCTTGTCCCTTTTACTGCTATTTTTGTTCCCATATGTGATAGGAGGGAACAACTTGAAAAAATGCTCAAACAACAGGGATTCTTTAAATATATGAGTCCAAACTGCCTACAAAATCACACACACACGTGCATGTATATACACACACATGCGCACACACACACATACACACACAGGGCAGAGGTATGGGTGTTGCAACAGGAAGGACTGTTGAGAGTCTAGGCATCCTCATACCCCGCCTAATAAAAGAAGAAGAAAAGCCTCTTTTATCCTTTGTCTCTTTTACTAACTGCAGTGCTGAGAAGAATTATAATTGGGAAAAAAAGGTTGGTGTTGGTCTAGCTGATAAAAGTGACCTTTAGCCAGCAAGTTCTTGATGTTTTTCTGACGCCGGCACCGAGGGAGCCTATCTGGAAGGCAAGCGGCATTTTTTATTTTATTTTTTGCTATTCAAGGTGACATTATGCCTTGAACCTTTTCCATTTGGCAGGTGCCAGGAAGCTGACAGAAAAGAATCTTCAACCAGTTATGCAACCATTCTCCGCTCAGTCCATGAGCGCAGGGAGCAGCTGATTAAAAACCACCCGGTGAGGACCCACTCTGTGCCAACGGCCGTGCTGGGCCCTGGGACCCACGGGCAGCAGGACAGACGTGCTCTCTGGCCTCCTGTGAAGTTGGACAGTGAGCCGTCATTACAGATGGGGCCAGGCCCCACGGAGCTGGCTCCCAGCGCCTATGGCAGGGGCTTCATCTAAGGGAGGGTCTCGGAGGTCAGCTGAGACATGATGGGGGGAGGGGCTCACTAGGGGGGGAGGGGCTGGCTAGGAAGAGGGGGAGAGCTTCCTGCAGAGAGAGAGAGAGAGAGAGAGAGAGAGAGCAGTCAGACAGGAGCAGCTCTGGCTGGAAAGAGGCCCACATGGGAGTCAGTGTGGAGATGGCAGGGTGAGGTGAGAAGAAACCAGGGAGAAATGCAGGGCCGGCACTTGCTCTGCTGAAGCACCTTGTACTGTCTCCTAAGAAGCATGGGTGTCGCCCTGACTGGTTTGGCTCAGTGGATAGAGCGTCGGCCTGCGGACTGAAGGGTCCTAGGTTTGGTTCTGGTCAAGGACAAGTACCTTGGTTGCGGGCACATCCCCAGTAGGGGGTGTGCAGGAGGCAGCTGATCGATGTTTCTCTCTCATCGATGTTTCTAACTCTCTATCCCTCTCTCTTCCTCTCTGTAAAAAATCAATAAAAAAAACAATAAAAATATATTTAAAAAAAGAAGAAGAAGCATGGGTGTCATTAAGGCTGAAAGCCCAGGCAGGGCCACACTCGCCGCTTGGCTATTGTGTGGACGACGGACGGTGGAGCGTGAGTGACAGCTGAGAGCCCAGGGAGGGGCCGTCGCGATGGGCCAGGCAGGAGCCAGTGGCGGCCTGAACTCGGGTGACACAGTGGGATGGGAATGGGAGGCTTTAGAAGGTGGAATGGGTGGAACTTGGAGGTGGATTTGATGAAGTGGTGGGCGAGGGAGAGGAAGGAGCGAGTGACTCAGCTCCGGGACAGTGATGCCTTCACCGGACAGAGGCCCTAGAGGGGAGGCCGGAGGAGACAAGGGCAGAGCCCGAGGCTGGTGTGGGGCAGCTGGGAGTGAGCCACCTGGGAGACATCGGAGGAGAGGCCAGGAGGGCGGTGCCCGGGGAAGTGAGCAGAGGGTCTGGTGGAGACACACGTGTGAGCCTCAGCAACGGGCCACGCGAGGCCGTGGGGCAGAGCAACTGTCAGCAAGGGCAGAGGGCCAGGAGGGAGCCTGCGTCCCACCCGCCAGGGGGCTGCTGCTGGCCGAGAGCCGGGAGATGAGGGGACACAGGACAGACGGTGCTGGTCAAGCCAGGGAAGGAACGCGTCTCAGGAAGGCGGGATCGGGCAACTGCGCTGAAGGCCGCTGAGAGGTATCTTTCTGACAAAACCTGACTCCTGTCTCTCTCTCTCTTTTTTAATTGGTTATGTCCTTTTATTTATTTTTAAAGCCTCATTAAACTGAAAATAATAAATATATATTTTTTCTGCTGTCTGAAGTTTAGTGGTTTCTCATATATATTCTTTTTTGTAACCTTATTTTTATTGTTGACACTATTACAGATGTCCCCATTTTCCCCTCCTCTGCCCACCTCCACCCAGGTCCCGCCCCCCTTCCCTCTGGCCATCACCTCACTGGTTGTCTGTGTCTTTGGCTAATCTCTTCCCTCTGTTGATTATAAATCTCACCACTGCCTCCGAGAAAGAGTCTAAACTCCTTATCCTGAGATACCAGGCCTCTCACACACCACTGCCAACCTAGCCCCTGCCGCGTCTCCCTGACTTCTCTGCCATCCAGTCTGCACGGTGGCCATGCTGACATAGCCCCGGTCCACGCTGGTAGGCGGTGTCCTTTGCCTCTCCAGCATTCATGCTCCTGTGTGTCAGGTTTGTCGGGAGATCTGCCCCACTCCCACCCCCTTCAGTCCACGGAGCTCTGGGGTCACGGCTGCAGCCTCTGGTGTGGGGCACGTGGTAGGACAACCTGATGAATGTGTTGCCCTCCCCGACAGTGACTGGTTGAGGGAGGGGACGGGTAACGTGATTGAGCCGGTCTGATCGGAGTGAACCTCATGGAGGTTCTGGGGCAAAGGCTCATTTCCTCTCCGGCGGATGGGCTTCTGCGAGGATATTGCCCCAGGAGTGAAGGAGCATTTGGGGACCATGGAGAGGAGCTGGTTGAGAACAGGGCCAACACATGGAAGAGAGCAGAGACCCTGGCTCTGGAGACACTGCTTGAGTCCCCGAGGTAAGCCAGGCCAGAAGCCAGAAGGAATCTGCGAACCAGTGAATGCCCTTTCCTTTTTATTTTTGCTTAGGGTCAGGTTTCCTGTGACTGATAACAGAATTGTGTCCGTGAATCCTAACTAATAGAAACATACTATTCCCGTCACTTAGAATATGTCCCTGCTCTTCCATCGGAATGGTTAACTGTGCTTCTAAGTGCGGCTTCCCTGGCTCCTCTGAGCAGTCATCCCCCCCCGCCCCCCATCGTCCCTCAGAGCCTGGCATTGTCACCCGCCCACCACGGTTTACACATATGGTTCCCCAGCACCCTCAGGCCAGGGATCATGTCTTATTCACTTTTGTATCCCTAATCTCACACATCATCTGGTGCAAAAGAATCACCTATCAAATGTTTTCTGAATGACTGAATGAATGAATAAAAAATTATAAGCAGAAGCTCAATATCAAGATATAAGAAGATACTGATGAAAGCAAAAGAATGGTTAGATGAATGCTTAAAGCAATAAAAAATTAGAGCACATCATCTGTAGTACTGGCCAAGCCCACTTTCAAAATGTCATTATTTTAATTATGGAAATGGCTTCTATAAATAATAAATAAATAAATAAATAAATAAATAAATCCCGGCCCTTGCTCCCAGATGGAATAAACTCATTTAGCTGTTACATGAGAACAACTTCACAGAATCTGGTATTTGCAGCTTATTAGGCCAGGTTGGCTGGTTTCTCCATAATTATTTTAAACGTGCATCCTCTGTAGAATTTCATTTCAAACCTAAACAGCCCCTGGCGCCTAAAGATCAGGTTTCATGGCTCAGGCCTGATCCTTGGTCCGGCTGATAAAACGAACGAATGAATGCCGGAGAGGCAAGGGACACCACCCACCAGTGTGGACAGGCCTGGCTACGCTAGGTCGTCCTTGGCTGCCTATGGAAAACATCCAGAGCAAGCCGGAAAGGAAAGGGTTACCATGGTAACGGAGCCGGAAAGGAAAGGGTGGCTGTCGTGGACAAGATGAGCATTGCATACAGGAGGCACCCACAAGCCAAGGAAACATGAGGCTCCTTAGTTAAGTATGGCTACTCAACACTCAGTGCTGAAAACAGTTGTCCAAACACCCAATGGAGAAATACCATATGCAGAAGCCCATTGGTCCTGGTCTCGAATGAGGCGAACCCAAATGAAAACGTTCCTGCGGCCTGGCTAATACAGGCTGTTGATATTTTTTAAAAGGAGTGTTTTCCAAATTAAGTTTGGCTTTAGCTTCTAATTGAATTTAAAGTTAATTGAATAGGAGAGAGATACCTCTAAACATAAATATTGTGAAGACAGCGGTTCCCTTTCGGCACTCACCACCACCCACTACATACACATGCCAGAATGAAACCCACAGACCCACTGAAGGACACAGCACATGCTCAGTGTATTGTGCTATGTAATTCATGCTTTGGGTTTGAAATGCTTATTCATAAAACTGCACAAAAACTTTATTTTTTATGACAGATTTCTAATGATCCAACTACTAGCTTCAAAATTAAAGGAGGCTTATGGATATTGATCACTCTGTTAATTGGATGGCAACTGAGGCTTTCAAAGATGTTTTATCTGTTTTTCTTGCTTGGAAATCTAGGAGGGACCATGAGTTTAGGCTCTTTGTTATTTTTGTCAATAATTAATTGTCAGAACCAAAAGTATTCATGCAAGACCAGTGCACAGAATATAGGAACCCAGTGCAAAGCAAGGAGAAAAAAAACAAACGAACAGCAGAAAAGAGCTCTACAGGATAGCTACGCTGGCGGTACCTTATTTGATTTTCCTTGTTCACCAGGAAGAACCAGCAGAACTTCACAGCCAGTGGGCTGCAGTTGGTGATGGGGACGTAGCGGATCACCTCCGTGTCGTTCAGGATACAGCCAAAGTCCAGGTCCATGGTCTCAAAGGACAGGTTGGGGTAATGCACTTCCCCGCGCAGGCTCAGGCTGTCTACCTGAGGGTGCTCCAGGTACCTGATGGATAGAGTTTCTTCTGCCACCCAGTTGTTCAAATCGCATTTGTGGGTCGGGTCAAACTTGACCAGCAGATTTTTTTCTTCACCAATCTCCAGTTTAATAGGCTGCAAATCAGATTATGGGAAATTACCAACCTTTGTACTATGCATTTCCAACCTGATACATGAAACAGGACGGCCAAAGTTATTTAAATATGTTTATGTACATACATACACACATTCGTATTACTATTAAAGTACACATATATCTCACACTTTATTTGGCCATAATTAGGTATCTACACTTACACATGATTAAATAGCTAATATATCTATATTGATATCAATAGTTACCTATATTTATCAATATTATAGATATTTATATGTGTGTGCACACCTATTTTATTCGTTGAAAATGAAACCAAGGAAAATCTGGAGAGGGAATTATTTGAGGGAAGAGATTTTGCTAAGAGTTGTGAGGTCATAAAGTTTGAGGAGTTGTAAAAAGGAAAATCTACGATGAATAGCCATTATAAAAATATTTTTAACTGAAAATAAGTTAGATTGTAAAATGCTCTTCCTAGACAAGTGGGAAAAGTTCTTTGCTTAAGAATTTCAGAAAGGGGGGAGGGGCTCTGTAGAGGATGACCCAGAAAGGGTCAGATTGGACAATTTAAAAAAAATATATATTTTTTTATTGATTTCAGAAAAGAAGGGAGAGGGAGATAGACACACCAATGAGAGAGAATCATTGATCAGCTGCCTCCTGCATTACCCCCTCTCCCCCCACCCCCCTCCAGGAATCGAGGTTGCAATTCAGGCATGTGCCCTTGACCAGAATTGAACCTGGGACCCTTCAGGCTGCAAGGCCAATGCTCCATCCACTGAGCCAAACCGGCCAGGGCTGGATTGGGCAATTTAATTTCTTCTCTAATGTCTGCGATCCTAAATCTTCAGCACAGTGTCATCTACTTTCTGCTGTTTTCTGGTCAACTTAAAACGACACTCTCGAGCTGTACTGAGTTTGTTGGGTAGATTTCCCTTGTTCTTTTTCTCTTTGATTCAAATCCCCATCTGTTCCTTGATGCCAAGGCCACAGTAACACCTTCCCATAGAAAGCCTGGCTATGAGTTGGCTTATTTATTTTTTTTTTTTAGGAATCACTCAATTCCCACATTTAACCAGCATAAAAGCCACCTCCTGGTTTTGCAGAAAGTGCCTGGAGGTAGTCGGGGGGAATGTATACAGGGCGAATCTGTTTACAGAGTTCTCCCCTCTCCACTGAGTTTTAAGCTTCAGTTATTTAACTGTGAGCATCGGTGCCATGATTAGATGGTTCCAGGTGATACTGCCAATCACCAGATCCAAGAGTCAAAGAGAGGGTAATGGCTCTTCAGTTGGCTAATCCCATCTGAAAGCCTGGCTGGCCGCTTGGCACAGCTGGCTGGGCACAATGTAGACAATGCAGCTGCAGCCCTTGGTATCTCCATGCTTGGGGTTTAAGTATCTTTGAAGATGGACTTAAACACCTTCTCCCCCCCAGAGAAATGATTTTTTTGTTTTGTGGAAAAGATACATATCCACAAATTATATATAAAAGCGCAAAGAAGAAATTAGAAACTTATCCAAGATTTCACCATATATTATTTCTCAGAGTTCATATTTGATACACATTAGTCCAGACATAACGGATGGCTAATAAAATTTTACAAAAATAGTTAGATTCATTTATTTCAAAATATCATGTTTGACATTTTTTTTCTCAGAAAGAAGCCTGAAAGAAATCTTATACGAGAGATTAATCCTAAAATTATGGACTCTGGAGCCTGATTGCTTGGCATCAAATCCTGGCCTGCTGGTTACTAGCTCTATGAATCTGGGCAATGTTAGTTGGTTTTCCTAGACCTCAGTTTCTCCATCTGTAAAATAGGGTCATAACAGGACCTATCTCTTTTTAAGAGGATGAAATGAGTCAATATACATGTGATGTCTTCAGAGCAGTGCTTATGGTATATAAATGCCAAATATTACTATTATTGTTACCCCTTTATGATCAAGTAAAACTACGGTTGAATATTAAACAGTTTCATCTTAGATAGTATCTTATTGACACCCAGCTGTAAAGGGGATGAAGTCAGCTTATGCTTACCCCACTTCCCAGTTGTTCTTGGTTGTAGTGTTAATTTTAAAAAGCCAACCTATGTATGTGCCCTGACCAGGAATCGATCTCATAACCTTTTTGGTGTACGGGCAATTGCTCCACCCAACTCAGCCACCCAGGCAGGTCTGGGCATTTAAAATTCTGATAGCTACTGCCATGTTGTCTTCCAATGTACACTTCACCAACACTGTAAGGGAATCCATGTTTCCATATGCCCTTCTTAATACCAAGCACTATCCAATTTTTGTTCCTTGCCAATCTGATGGGGGGGGGGGAGGATGTGTTTTGTAGTCATTTTAATTTGCATTTCTTCTACTATGATTAAAATTGAGCATATTTTCATATACTTAAGAGCCATTTTCTTTTTCTTTTTGGGAGCTCTCTGTTCATTTCCTTTGCCTAATTTTCCATTGAGTTATTGGTATTTTTCTTATTGATTTATAGAAGTTCTTCATTTTTTAAAGTACATGTATGTTTTAATTATAGTGATACATGCAAATAATATAAAAGGTCAAACTGTACTACAAGAGTTATGACAAGAAACAGTAGTTCCTGACCCTCCCTGGTCTCCCAACAATCCGGAGGTCGCCATTTCTCAATTCTTGTGGTAGGGCTGGTCTACAGAACAGTTTCTGGGCAGAGAGGGGACGATCGGGCGGTGGACACATCCCAGATAGCTGGGATTACTCTGGGGTGCCGACACTGACACAAGAAACATCAACTTTCCCCAAACAGTCTGATAGATTGCTCCAGGGAAGAGCACTTACCTTTATGTCTCCAGATAAAAGCCAGCTGCCCATGTCCTTTGTGTGGGGTTGGGTGGGACAGCTGTCCGGTGCACATGGAATCCTTCTGTTTTCAACACTCTGCTCACACGTGTTGCCTCTGTGCCCAGACTACTGGGCTGAATGACTGCCACGTGTTCACAGCGTCACTGGAGAATTTTCCAGGCTGCAGGTTTTTGTGGCTTTTTGTCAACCCACTCCATCGTCATTCTAGCATCTAGAATTTGCTTAAATCTCTCAGTATCTGGTTACACCATCCTCTTCCCCCTTCATTTTATTGCTCTGGGCTTCGTTCATTTTGAACATTTCTACTTTTATCTTATTAAGATTTCAGGAGGGACAGGAGTGTGTCTAATCTACCACCCAGGATGAGAACGCTGCTCACGTCTGAATTTTCATTTTCTCATCCGCCTGTCTTCCTCGGCTCTGTGAGTTCACGCTTCATCTCTTTGAACACTTGTGTCTCATCCTTGAGCTCTTTTTAAAGACCGGTCATGCCATCTGTAATTTCTTTGAGGCTGTAGAGAATTACATGTTTATACTTTTGGTCTTCTTCCTTGCCTAGGTCTCCTTGTAGTAGAGTTTCATCTGCCTCTTGCTTATGATCATTTTCTCCTTTTATTTCTCTGTTCAAGGATCTTAGCTGTTTTCCCCCCAGCTCATGCTGGAATGAGATTCACTGAAGAATTGGTGGGAAGGGGCAGGGGAGGGCAGCAGGGCATTTTGCAGCCACAAGTCAGGTACCATCTGCAACACCCTCTGACCAAGCAGCTCTGTTCCTCACTCCCCCAATCATCCATCCACCCCTCTGTGTGTGGCTCATAGCAAATCTCAAGTCTCCCTGTTTGGAGATCTTGCGATTGTTGCCTGCCCTGCCTTCCTCCTTTAATCACTTCTCCTTTAGCTGATGGTGTGGGTCGGGTTTCTCTTTAATCCTTTCCTACAGCTCTGCCATGGCGTTTGCCCCATGGCCCAGCCATTCCCACCGGTGTCCTCATGCCCAGCAAAGGATCACAGGGATGATCTTCCAGGGATGTGGAGAGAACACTGCATCCCGCCCAGACTGGTGGCCTGGTGAGCTCAAGCCTCCTGCCTTAGCCGGGCTCCGTCTTCTCGGTGTCTGGAGATAGGCTGGCTGATTTAAAGACTGGGTTTTGGCTATTTCCTGGTTTCCTTGAGGATGGAGTTTTGGTGGGATTTGAGGGAAGGGAATTGAAAGATCTTTACTATCCTTACTGTGAAACCATTGTTTTCTAAAGATTAGCTTCATTACAATGAAAGGGTCATCATAATGAGCCAGAGGTTCTTACACCATTAATAATAGATGTTCTACTGATAGACAGTGGAATTTATCTAGGACTCATTTAAGATTCTCTGTATTATTTCCTCACTGTTTTCTGGATTCTTCATATTTTTCTGGACTGAAATTAGTTAGTGTACTGATGTCATTCTCTTCCTTTCTCCCCACCCCCCCCCCCCCCAGGGACTTGGGAGGACCCTCCTCCATCAGTTACCTCCGGAGTTAGGGGCAACAGAAATTGCTCCCGGTCACAGATGAAGAAGGGTTTGCTTTTTTGGAGCAAAACGTTCACGGGCAGCGTGGAAATGTTCTTCATTACCCAGGGCTGGGAATCAGGTTGCAAGAAAGGCTGTGGTTTCTGCCAAAAAAAGGAAAAAGAAGCAGCAAACTAAGTTATGACAAACAGTAATGCTACAGCAGCAAAAATCTCATATATATATCTGCGCGTACACAGACACAAACACATGTGCATATACTTTCATTCTCTTGGAGAGACTGAGCTAAATCATTTGGAATGTATGGTGGACTACTGAGAAGTGAGACTATGTAAGTCAGAAACCAGATTAGATTTCTTATTCTCCTGTTGCCTGGTTAAAAAAAACACGCCGATATAAGCCATGCCTCTGGATGGAACTATTGCTATAGAAGTTTCCACAATGTCATAAAGCAAACACTAAGAAATTAGTGCTATCTTGTACAAAAACCCATGTATCACTATAATGAATAAAACTTTTATTCCCTTTACAGTATTGTTTCATGCTCGAAACACTCAATTGCGAATATACTCATCTTATTAAATTGACAAATGCTATAACATGTTTCTCTAATTTTTTCTTGCTAACCCTGATTTACAAACATCTTTTTACTCTGTTGAACATCCAATTTAATTTTTCAACCGGAGAAAATACTGGGAATGGGTCCTGAACTGCATGTTGCTGTTCAGACTGAGTTTTTCTCATTCTGATGTTGGGGTCACATTGTTCCTTGCATACTCTGGAAAGCGGGTCCTTTGATACCAGCAGAAGGTAACCTGAAGCCTCAATCCGTGGCCTCCAAACAGAACCTCCTTCTAATCCAGTGGTTCTCAACCTTCCTAATGCCGTGACCCTTTAATATAGTTCATGTTGTGGTGACCCCCAACCATAAAATTATTTTCGTTGCTACTTCATAACTGTAATTTTGCTACTGTTATGAATCGTAATGTAAATATCTGATATGCTATGTGTTTTCCAATGGTCGCAACCCACAGGTTGAGAACCACTGTCCCTGGCTCTTCTAACAACTCTAGCCTGTTTTTCTCAGGTTTTTTTTTTTTAAATTTATTGTTGACGGTATTACAGATGCCCCTCATTTCCTCTTCCCCTTTGCCCCCTCCATCCAGCCTCCACTACCTTCATACCCCTCCTGCTCCACTACTGTCTGTGTCCACGGTCTATGCATAAATGCATATCTGTTCTTTGGTTGATTTGCTTCTTCTCCTTGTTCTGATTTCAGTTAAATCTTCCGGATTCCACATTTTCATCTGACCCCTTGTCTGCCTCTCTGACCAGCATAGTCTTCCTCCCACTGTGGTTCTTGGACCCCCCCGGCTCTGGGCGAGCTCGTGTGATCAGCATCCATTGTGCCTTAGTTCAGGTGCTCTAACAAAGATAGACGGGGTGGCTTAAGCAGCAGGCATTTATGTCTCTCAGGCTGGAGACTGGGAAGTCCAAAATCAAGGTGCCAGCAGATCTGGTATCTGGGGAGAGCCTGCTTCCTGGCTTGTAGATGGCCATCTTCTCACTGTGTCCTTACATGCCTGACAGAGAGATTATCTCTCGTGTCTCTTCTTATAAGGGTCCTAATTCCATTCATAAAGGCTCCACCTTCATGACCTAATCACCTCCCAAAGGCTCCACCTCCAACACCATCACATTGTGGATTAGGGCTTCAGACTATAAATTTGGGGAGATACAGCCATTCAGTCCAGACAACTGGCTCAAGTCTCCTACCTCAGTTGTGATCCACCAGCCTCTGTGCGGGGGTTTGGTCTGGCACTTACCATGAGATGTCAACCGTGGTTTCCCTCCCTCTAACATGCTAATACAGGTGCTGGACTCATCCTGCACTTGCAGATCGCATTCTCCCCCAAGCAGCACTTGAAGGACATCAAAGGCCGCATGGGGAACTGTCCACCCAGTGACCTTCCCCCAGGCTGCTGTGTCACTGCAGGTAGCTTTGAAGCGAAGAAGCCACACTGGTTTGGTTTCGGCAAGAGGCCATTTAGAGGTGAGTGACGAGAAGGAGCCGATGCACAGAGAACCCGTTCTATTTTGAAACGACCCCTTTCTCTCTGGGTTGTCTGTCTCCCCAGATAGCAGGAGACAGGATTTGCTGCTGGACTTTGTGGAGCAAACTGGCTGCTGGTTTCGATTGACCTTTTTCAATTCCACAAAGATGTGGTTTCATCTCTGCGGCTTATGAATGGTACAATGGTTAGAAAGTAGATCATATCTGAGGAAACGGACCTAGAAAAATTCTCCCCCTAGGCAGTGTGGGTGTCATTATAGCCTAATGTACTAAGTCAGATACGCTGCCTTGAGCTGGAAATAGGAGACAGACTAGATAATTGGGTGTTACATAAGTACATCTGAATCCTGAGCCCTGGCAGGTCTCTTGCACACGCTGGGTAATGAAGTTGCAATTCTTCATTGTCCCTGGTGTGGACTAAATGTGAGCAGGAAATGAACAATGAAGAATAACAGTGGTTGGACAGATTTCAAACTTGTGATATTTGGGTGGAAGGAGTGAAGGGTAAAATCAAACAGGGAGCTGTGACTCGATTCCTTTTTGTAATTCAATAAGTCACTGCCATATTTAAAGTATTGGCTATTTTATTCGAGTGATAAAATCAAACAATAGACACTTAAACAAGAATATGCTTTTTAAAAAAACACAAAGGCTTCAGGATATAAAGAGAAGAAAAGGAACGTGATCCACACATTTTTATGAGTGTTTATGGGCTTAGAAAAAATCTAATAAGAAACGAAGTTGCATGTCCAACATATATTACGTCTTATGCAGAATAGCTATTCAATAAATATTCACTGAATTTTCATTCAATAGCTACATTCAGAGAAAATATGATGCCACCAAATTTGGTGCAAATGCCACCAACAAATATCTTTCCTGATTAGTTATAAAAGGAAGAATTTAAAACAGAGCAATGAAAGCTCAATAACTGCAGCAGAAACTCTTGTAGTATTTTCTTTTTATATGTCTCACGGAGCTCATCACAGTTAACGTAGCATCCTGTAACTGAAACCCTTATTCTACTTCCTCAGTGTCTACTCTCCCCAGTAGTCTGTTAAGCCCGGGATTTTGCTGTGTCTTTGCTGCCTCATACACTGTAAATGCCCAAAAATTATTTGTTGATTTGAACTTGTACATCTCCCCTCCCTTCCTCAATCATACGCCCCTTATTCATCTCCAGCGGAGTGCCATGCCCTTGGTGGGTGCTCAATAGATATTTATTGAATACAAACAAAATATGATGGAACCCACTCCCAGAATCAATGGTCTTGCCCATTCTCCTGCTAGCCTCCAGGTAATGAAAGGGACCCTGGTTGATCCCCTCCCTGACCGATTAGGCACTGCCACACCCAGTCCTTTCATACGACAGCAGGGATCACACTGTGGGACAATGTACTTAATGCTTGATCTTCCCAGTTGGCTGTGTAGTTCATCCGGGAGGGACTAGCCTCGCTGTTGTACCCCTAGCAGCCGACTCAGTGCTTGGCACATAGTAGGACTTAATAAATATTCCACTCAGCAGCCAGTGTGACTGTTTCAATGAATAAATCTGACCATGTTACTCCCCTCCCTGAAGCCCGCCAATGGCCTCCAAGAACACGCCTCCCAGTCAGGCCACACTCATGGGCCCTTGCCCACTTTTCTTGATGGACCTCCTGTCCCTCTTGGCATGTTCTCTGTCTAAGGCGGCCTTTCAGTTCTTCATGCTCACCAAGCTCTTCCCTGACTCGGGCCCTTCCTGTGTGCTGTTCCTTCTGCCTAATTCTCTCCCCGTCTCTTGTCACCAGACTAACTTCAATTTCTCTTCAAGTCTCAACCCGAGGCACTTGCTCAAGGAAGCCACCTGTCACCACAGGTACAAATAAAGCCACTCTCCTGATAGGTGCTCTCATAGCAACTTACACCTCTTCTTCACAGCACTGCTTAGAATTGTAATTTAAATGACTAAATGTTAATAATTGGGTTACAGTTGTAACCTCCACCAGTCTCTTAGCTTTGACTGTGTCACCCTGGTTCACCAGGTCGTCAGCATTAACTCACTCTCTGGCTCAGAAGAGACTTTCCACACATACCTGCTCTGAATGTTAAAAAATTCTATGATGGAAACCTGCTGAAGAGGAGGTCAAGTTCCACTGTGATGCCTCCCTCACCTCCTCACTATCCTGCCCCCTGCCCTGAGCAGCAGTCATCCCCAACACTCCCCGCCCCCCTAATCCCCATTTATTGCTCACCCTTGATGGCCATATAAATTCATGGGCATTTAGAGCCATATACTTAAACATGTGAGTCAGAGTTTAAGTGGGCTATTCTCAGTGCTGGGTGAACCGCATAATAACTTGTCTCTCGGTCTCCTCCTGTGTGTCATGGGAAAGATAACAGAACCCACAGCACGGACCGCTGTGAGGGACAACTGGGCAAATGTATGTAATGGATATAGCTCAGTGCCCAGCACAAACCAATCAATAAGGTGTAGCTACTCTTTCTGATGATTATGATTATCAATAATTCCAGCCCAATCCTTTCTATGCTGTGATGTTTACTTTTTCTAATTACAGTAAAATGATCGACCACAGTGCATTTTCAGTGCACTGGCATAAACACCCCTTCACTTTGGCCTCGTACATCAGGAATGATGGAAGCAGAATTTCTGTCGCAATTTATATTTCGGAGGAATTAGGTTTAGATCCAGAATTTTTAGAGGAAGGTGTATGGGCCTCTGAAGCTTAGGAAACATCGGTGGGTGTGGGTACACCAGGCTTCCTGTTAACTTAGCTTCTCCAATGAACATGTGAACTCTTGGACACCTCGCTGATCTCCAGCACAGCCCACTGACCTTCTCCAGTCGGTACACGAGCTTCTTGGTGGAGAGCTGGATGAGCGGCGCGATGAACTCGCACATGACATCCACGGTCATCACCAGGCTCCGCTCCCGCTGGGCCCCGATGATGGCTTGGCACACCAGCTTCTCCTTGACCATCTGCAGGTGAGAAAGGCCGGCCTGTGAGAACACCCACAGCTCAGAAAACCTAATTCCACACAATCAGCAAACGGACGCTCAACTACCTGCTGCGGACACCAGGGAAGAACACGTGTCTCTGAACCGTGCATTTCAGGGGTCGCTCTCTGTCTCACACTTAAATGTCTGATGGGTTAAATATGTCCTGAACGGATCCTGCGCCCATTTCTGACTGCTCTCGAGGACACAAATCAATTTACATTCAGTTCAATGAATACCTGTATGGAAGGTGTATTATGCATGGACTGTCAGGGATTGGACATACCAACCAGTATGGGCAGGGCAGATAAAATCCTATGGGCTTCGCCCTAACCGGTTTGGCTCAGTGGATAGAGTGTCGGCCTGTGGACTGAAAGGTCCCAGTTTCGATTCTAGTCAAGGGCATGTACCTAGGTTCTGGGCACATCCCCAGTAGGAGGTGTGCAGGAGGCAGCTGATCGATGTTTCTCTCTCATTGATGTTTCTCTCTATCCTCTCCCTTCCTCTCTGTAAAAAATCAATAAAATATATTTTTTAAAAAATCCTATAGGCTTAGAGTTCAATGGTAGTTCTATTCCTTATCAAGCTAGACAGAAACTGTGGTTGGAACATTTTGCATTTCCTACTTGGATATTTAAAAAATCGTGCTATAGAAACTAGTATTTCTTTACTCCCCTACCCCCCCCCCCCGAGGTCCAAATTTGTATGAAGTAGAAAGAACCCAAAGTGAATTTATATCATGAACAGCTTGCATTGAAGCGTGCTCAGGTTTCAGATGTGAATGGATTTAGAACCCTCACAGGTCAGGCTGAAGGCCTTTGAAACTATGGTCAGCTCCCAGTCGTGACATTGTGAACGTGCTCCTGTCGGGGTCTTGAAAGGAGGGCTGCGTTCTATCACCTTTGCGTCCTTGGTGCCTAGCGCAGGTTGCCACACGGTGCACACTCAGTAGAAGGTGGCTGAACCCCTGAAGAGCAGAGACAAAGACCACCTTATACACTCACTCCACAGGGAAGCAATGGACAAGCTTTGCTACCCTGTCTGCTGGAAGGCGAATTACTTAATTGTTTCCCATTTCCTGAGGAGAATGCTCAGCATCACTCCTAATTTGGTGGCACCAGGCGGAGCTCAAGCAACCATCAGTCCTCATTCACAACGTCTGCGCTTGTGAGGGAGGGGAGGCTCACGAGCAATTACAAAGGGTTTTTTGTGTGTTTTTTTTTAGGTTTCTGATGGTTTCCAGTCTCTATGAGGGAGTAGGAACAAACAGAGACATGGTTTGGATCTGCATCAATGTTTAAGCAGAATGATGGTGATGTAAATAAGAACATCAGAGCTGCCAAAGATACACGCAGCTCTTTCATTGACCCATAAAAAGATGATGATTATAAATGTGATGCTGTTATGTCAGACTGAGAGGAGAGAAGCCTGGGGTGTCCCAATACCTGGAGAGGAACGGCAGCCCAGAGTGTCTACAGACACACCCTTTGGGGTACCTATGAATACGGCTAAGTGTTCCCGGGAGGCGTGGCTTGGGCTGAATGCTGGCTTTCCCTCTCCCAGAGACTTGCTGGCTGGTCACTGCTGACCCTAGGGATGGGAAGCTGCTTTAATTAGTGTTTTAAGGATGGGTTCATGGCAGCTGCAGAAGCAAACATAAAACTGAGCAGAGCTGAACAGTCACAGCGATGGGTGCTGCCATGGTAACTCGGGGCCGTGTGTAGTCCTTAAGAAACCACATCCTTTCTTCAGATAAATGTCAAGGAACTCGCCTAAGAAATAGAGCAAAGATTTATTTAGGAGAAAGGCAGGTTCTAAACATGCTGTCCCCGTACCCTGGGAGTAGCAGAATAGCCATCAAGTGTCACATCGATCGTCTGGTCTGGATACAACTCCATCCTGAAGGGTTGAAGCTGAAACACGGGGCTCTGGGGACGCCGGGCTGCCTGGGCGCAGGGGCGCTTAGCGAGTCTCCTCGTAGGCACAACTTTCTTGTTCTTGGGTTGGAACTTTTCATTCATCCAGAACAACTGCTGGACCCGACGCCCCTTGTTGGTCAACTTGAAGTGGTAGTAACAGGTGTCCAGGCTGGAAAAGAGGAGGCGGGGATGGAGAGGACTCAGCTTTGGGATGGATGTTCAGCTCTACACCTTTGGGACTGACTCCTCTGGAAGTATTTTTCTTTTAATTATTTGATATTTTTAAATATTGTGAAATAATCACCACAAGTCTAGTTAATCTCCATTACCATACATAGTTACAGATTCTTTTTCTTGTGATGAGAACTTTTACGATTTACTCTTTTTTTTTTAAAGTGAGCAATAAATAGACAATTTTTTAAATATAGGAAGGCTGCATCATGGTAGTACTAGGTCACAGTGATGGCGAAACTATGACACGCGTGTCAGAGGTGACACGCGAACTCATTTTTTTGGTTGATTTTTCTTTGTTAAATGGCATTTAAACATATAAAATAAATATCAAAAATATAAGTCTTTGTTTTACTATGGTTGCAAATATCAACAAATTTCTATATGTGACACCATGGCACCAGAGTTAAGTTAGGGTTTTTCAAAATGCTGACACGCCGAGCTCAAAAGGTTCGCCATCACTGTACTAGGAGCTACCACGGTAATGGGACAAAGTAGCAGCTACTCATGGCCTCCATAAACTCAAGTCAGGGGCCTGGGTGTGGCCCTTGAGTTGTCATCACCAGGGAAGGGGCCTTTCCCAGCAGGTCAAGCGTGCCGCAGAATACACGGACGCAGTTCACATGAAAACCGCTCTAATTTATGACAAATGGCTCTGAGGAGTATTTTAGGAAAGGAAAAGCAAAATGCCTATTGGGGGAGAAGTGTATTTCAAATTGTGTGGAGTAAATTCCTACGGACTGAGGGAAATGTCTTGTGATGGGCTCAGTTTGAAGGGTACTTCAAGAGAAAGGACCAACTTATTCACAGTACATCTTTCAATCATCACAGCAACCCAGGAATACCAAGTATATTTGCTCATTTTCTAAATGAAGAAATGGAAGCTCTGAAAATGTCAGGAAGTTGCCCCAAAACATGCAATTAAAAGAGATGGCATATGGGGTTTTCTTAGACCTATATGTTCCCAAATTGGCAAACTTTTCTGTTAAGGGCTGAATAATAAATATTTTGGATTTTGGGGGCCACATGGTCACTGTTACAGCTACTCAACTGTCCACTGTAGTGTGAAAGCAGACATAGAAAATATGTGGCCCTGGCCGGTTTGGCTCATTGGATAGAGCGTCGGCCTGGGGACTGAAGAGTCCCAGGTTCGATTCCAGTCAAGGGCATGTACCTTGGTTGCGGGCACATCCCCAGTGGGGAGTGTGCAGGAGGCAGCTGATCGATGCTTCTCTCTCATCGATGTTTCTAACTCTCTATCCTTCTCCCTTCCTCTCTGTAAAAAATCAATAAAATATATTTAAAAAAAAAGAAAATATGTGTACACAAATAGGCATGGCTGTATTCCAATAAAACTTTATTTACAGCCTGGCCGTTGTGGCTAAGTGGTTGAGCGTCAACCTAAGAACCAGGAGGTCACAGTTTGATTCCCAGTCAGGGCATATGCCTGAGTTGTGGGCTTGATCCCCAGTGTGGGGCAGGCAGAAGGCAGCCAATCAATGATTTTCTCTCATCATTGATGTTTCTCTCTCTCTCTCTCCCTCTTCCTTCCTCTCTGAAATCAGTAAAAATAGATTTGAAAAACTTTTATTTACAGAAACAGCCCACCTCTTCTTTTTTCCCCCTTTTTAAAAAATGTAATTTAACTTTTCCATCACCTTTTATCCTCTCTTTGCCATCTACCACCCTCTGTGTCCTCTGCTTTTGACAATTCTTTTGGAGATTACTGGCATCATGATTTCATGTCAAAAAAAATGGTAGGGTGTAGGCAGAGGGGAAATTGACAGCTAAAAAGCCACAATTTGCTTCTGTATTCATAGAGAACTATAGGCTAAACCTCCCAATTCCAGGCAAGTGACAGAATATCCTTTGGGGCTATTTGACCCTGTTTGCAGATTACAGAGAACATCATGTAATCAAGTTTGGTTCTCAGCATACTGCTTCTATAATTATGTTTGCGTATACTTAGAGAAACTTGGAAATAGAAGCATGCTCTAGCTCATGGTCAACAGACAGGCAGAGAGGGGCATTTCTCTATCAAGTTAACACAAAACTAATGGATGCTTCTCGGAAGGCATCATTCCTAGTGGCTCATGCTATTTTCAATCAGGTCATGGTTTGTAGATAGAAGAGAGGAAAAGGGGGTGTGAATGGGTTTATGGGGAGGGCTCCTGATTTTTTTTTTCAGGCTCATCTTCTCTAGGCACATGTGTTCATCTTGGTTTCGGGGCCTATTAGACCAGAGGTCTGTTCATAATATCACGATGGACAGGTACACATTCCTCTGGCCTCCGCAGCTGGGGAGCCATGAATGAATCCCCACACATATCCTCCCATCAGCATTCAGACTTCATACATTTTTAGAGCCACATGTAGATCATTCTGCTCAGAGGGGTCTATAGTCTACCACCTTTTATTTAAATATTTAGATGTTCTAGTTTTTTTGTTTTGTTTTTTTCCAAAATGATCAGGTAGAGCCAATTGCGGCCCTCTTGATTGTTGGTGCTATAGTGGGGAGGCAAGCAGGAGACAAAATACCAAAAAAGTTACTGCTTTGCAATTCCTGATAAGAAACATTTACAGTACATTTTTACCTTCCTAGTTATACTCTACTTAGGTTACCACTAAGCTGCGACTGTATTTTGGACCTACACGGAGAGGGATTAAGAGCGTATTGGAATAAAAGAGGGGAAATCATGGTGGAGATTCTAAACTGGTCACCGAGAAGGCACTGTAAGTGTGAGAGAATGATGCACTTCCTATGAGCCATCTCTTCGCTAGCGTGGACAGACTCAGCTTGAGAATGCAACCAAGCTGTGACTAGGGGGGTGTCTTCTGATGGCTGACGCACCCATCTGGAGGGGGACAGTGAAGATAGGAAAGTGGAAGGACTGAGGTGAGTGCAATTTACTGAGAAGCCATTTTCTAAAACAGAGGTGATGCTCAGCTTATGCAACAGGGGCGATTATCTATGAAAATTCACCCAGGAGATTTCCCGACCTAAAATGTGCTCCCAAGTTGAGTTCTGGAGCAAAGGGCTTATCCGAAACAATGGTGGAACCAATTCCTTCAGCCTGGACAGAAATCCGGTAGGTGTTGCTGTTTATAATATCCAAAATGACCGTGTCTTTGAACATCAGTATGTCATTCAGGTTGGCGGTCAGCGTCAGTTGAATGTCCTCTTCGGGGGGAACGGTGCCTTCACTGGGTTCCACTGTCCAGAGGGACTTTTTGTGAGCCTGCAACACAAGACACACGGTAACCGTGAGGCTATTCCTGGCTTTCCCTCCCGCAGGCGTCAGAACCGTCTGCACCTTAAGCGGCCGGCACTGTGGAACTCAACATCAGAGACAAACATTATTTTTTTTTCCCAAATCACAGCAGCTGGATGTTTGTTGGCTTCTCTTTCTGCAAAAAGCAATCTGATTCTGAAGAGCAAACCTACAATTCCGCCTCAGCGCTCGGCAAGGATCCCTTACATCTCTTTCGCTAGATGACAGCCCAGCTCTCTAACAAGCTGGTACTAATTACCTGTTTTAATCACCAAATTCTGAGATACCCGCAGAAGGTACAACACCCTTTCTGGAATATGGAATTTTCCAGAGACATGGTTTTCAAATGCAGGGGTGTTGAGGATGTTATTAGTGAGCAGGAACCGCTTTCGTTAATAAACACAGTATAGGAAGTCATCTCGATTTCTATTATTCTATAATAATAAATAGAAGTTCATGTGCTAACATTCCAAACTTATTCTGAAATATATAATAGGAGGTGAAAATTATAGAGGGGAAGCTGACTCTCACTGATCTGTTCCCTTTAATTGATTAGATCCTCAGAGCCCACTCCTTTTCCTCCTGAGGAGTTTTGGCCAAACACTGCCTCTCAATGTAGCCTGCTCTGACCATCACCTTTTAAGTGGAAAACCTTCCCTCCGCACTCCTGATCCCCTTTACCCAGTTCTATTCCCCCCCTTAGTACTTACCATCTTCTAACATGTGCAGATTTGACTTATCTATCATGCTTGTCTGGTTTGAAAGTCTATATGGACACTACTAAGTAGATTGTATTTAAAAATGTAAATAAGTTCAATGAAACAAAGGAGAGCAGTTCTCAAGATGATACATTGTTTATAATGAGGATGTAGATGAAATTTTACTTTAATTTTGGTATTAATGGAAATGATAGATTTAATTCTCTGTCAAGAGTCCTGTCATTACTCCTGATCTTTTAATATGGGACATCTCTGGAAACATAGATATAAGAGAAAACAGCATTAAATACTACACTAGATAAACTAGGGCTGAGATGGGATATTTGTATGATGATTAGATCTATTCCAAAAATATTTGTGGGAAAAAATGTTGATTTTTGTACCACTCAATGTTTTCATGCAGACACACCTAACTGCACAGGAATCTGGGAAATGTCTTGCTCTGGGTCCAAGAGTGAAGGGAGGTGGGCATAGGAACTGCTAACTTCTCTCTGCCAAAGCTACCTTGTTGGTTCCGTATATTACCATTTCCTTAGGTCTTCCCCTAACACCTCTGGACCTCAGATTTAGAAAGGTGAAGAGTTCACTCCAATCAGGAACCTGAAGTGGGGGCGTAACTTGGTATTTGCACTCCTATGGGAACTCTAGGGCTGGAGCCCAGATCCATCTGCTGTTGGGACAACCAGAGGGGCAGCTGGGGGAGAAAATAAGAATGTTCTAGGCAAGACCGTCTCACACTGTTGGCCTTTCTTCCCAAACCTGTGGCCTTAGAGCACTCTCTGTAGTTTCGCTCATTTATGATACTCAGCTTACAGTTAGAACATAAATCAATGCCATGTTTGTCCTCTTATCAAAAAGCAAATGCCTTTCAGGAGAGGGCGCTGTCAATGTCACCTTTCCCATTCCACCTATTTATTTTCTTCCTCGAGACAGTGGCGCAGGCCAGTCCTTGGTTACAATGAGGAGAGGGTGTCACCTGCATAAGTGCTATTTCCAGCCAGGGGACATTCGTTTTCGGTAGCTGCATAGCATTTCTATTCTGATTCCTGCAGACGCAGACTGGCTGCTCTGGGAAGAAGACCTGAAGTTGCTCTCCAGGGCCCAATTGGCGAGTCTTCTTTTTGAGGAAGTGTATTAATCAGTGTCTGGCATAAAACAAGGCAGCAAAGTATATCACAGAATCCAAGAACAGGGCACATTAAAACGCCAGCTGCCAACACGCTGGCTTATCCTTACCCAGAGTCAGGCTCCAAATTACCCTAACGCCCTGCGTCTCTCTTGCATTTGACTTTGTTTTGAGGGAGGATTTGGTCTCTGTAACATTTTCCGTTATTAGATGGCAAATTCGACGAGAGAAGGAATGGATGAATGATAATCAGCGCAGCTATGGAGGATACTCAATAGCCTTTTCAAAACCACAATAGAGCAAGACAACAAGTGACGGGAACAGGCTAGGAAGGAGGGGTCCAAAGGAAAAGAGATGTGGGTGTGAGTCCCAGACCGGCCACTTTCCAGCTATTGAATGTGGGCCACGTCCCTTCGCCACGCCCAGCCTCCGTTTCCTCAGCAGCAGCCCATGGCACTGACTGCACCTGTCGCACAGACTTGTGGTGATGGTTAAATGAGGTGATGCACGTACAGCTCAGAATGATGTCTGGCACACAGTTAAGTTCTCATAAAAATGACAGCTAGTGTCATCATTTTACCAAAAGCTGTCATCACCCCATGTGACACATAATTATGGACTCAGCAGTATTTGCTTTAAAAAAAAAGATTAAAATAGGTGCCAGGAAAGCATGTAACATACAGTCCTCCTGGCAGAAGAGAAGCATCTCATTGGGTTTATGGTAGGCAGAATTCTGAGCCGGCCCCCAAGATCTCCACCTCCTGGTGCACAGTTACCTTCTCCCAGTTATTTAATCAAAGGCTAATCTAGGGATATTTTTTTTGGTGGGGGTGGTGGTTAGACATTTATTAATTTACAGATTAACCCCCTTGGTAAGTCTAGTAACCACCTGACACCATACATCATTATTACAATTATGACTATATTTCCTATGCTGTTCTTTACATCCCTGTGACTATTTTGTAATTACCAATTTGTACTTCTTAACCCTTTCTCATCTAACCTCCTAACTCCCCTCCCAGCTGGCAACCATCAGTCTGTTCTTCTGTGAAGGGATTTTGCAGACGTAGTTAAGGTCCTAAAATAGTTGGCTTTAAGGTGAGGAGATTAACCGCAGTGGGCCTCACTTAGTCAGGAGAGCCCGTCGAAGGGCTTGGCTCTTCCTCGTGAGAGGGCTTATGGAAGAGGCCACATGGTGGGGAACTCTGGGTGGTTCTATAGCAACGGGGGCGGCCCCTGGCTGACAGCCAGCAGGAAAATGGGGCCTCAGTCATTCCATTGCAAGATAATAAACTCTGCCCACAACCTGAGGGGGCCTGGAAGGGGATCTTTCCCTAGTGAAGCCTCCTCAGAGGAGAGCAGCTGGGCAAACACCTTGGTTTCGACCTTTGAGATCCTTTTGGCTGGAGAGGAGCCAGCCAAGCCATGCCTGGACTTCTGACCCAGGGAAAACACACATTTATGTTGTTTCAAGCCACTAGGTTTGTAGTCATCTGTTACACAGCGATAGAAAACTAATACAGGGTGGAAAAGGTGAAGGGGCTGAGAAGCACAGATTGGTAGTTACAAAATAGTTACGGGGATGTAAAGTACAGCATAGGGAATATAATCCTATATGATAAAGAGCTAATATGCTAATTAGACCGGACGGTGGAACAACCTTCCAGATGAGGCAGCCTGGGCTGCGAGGGCCGAGCCCCTTGCACGAATTTCGTGCATCGGCCTCTAGTCAATAATGTTATGCATGGTGCCAGGTGGATACTGGAAATATTGGGGGGGTCACTTTGTAAAGTATATGACTGTCTAACAACTATGCTGTACACCTGAAACTAATACAAAATAATATTAAGTGTAAACTGTAATTGAAAAAGAATTTAAAAAGAAAACAAATACAGGGTTTCACATATTTGTCCAAAAGATGAGTTGAGTTTTCCTAAGTCTTCCACCAAAACTTCAGCAACAGCTGCGTGTGTGTGTGTGTGTGTGTGTGTGTGTGCGCGCGCGTCAATAGGGGCTAGAAAGCCGGAGTCACTAGAGCAGCCCATGAACAACACGTAGAGAAGGTTTGTAGGTGCTCGTGCACATGTGACTGTGTGGAAGAGGGGAAATTGTGATTTTTGCAATGCAGAATCCCAAACCACTTGTCATCTGTGCTAAGCCCTCTCCCCTACCTTTCACAGATCTAGAGATAACATTTGCTTTTTATCTGACAATAGGGCGTCAGTGCACTGCTTAAACAGCGCTCGGCTCCCAAGGTGAAATCGAGCTTTTACGGGCTTCCTGAGCCGTATTTAACATTTGCCATGAAAGACAGGAGTGCAGGCTACTGTTTGCACACGCCATTTCAGCAGTAAAGGAGAGTGAGTATACGCAGCAGACCTACTCGGTAGCGCTGAGGACTGCGAAGCTTGAGAAAAGAGCTCTACGCACTTTTCTTCAAAACAACTCCTTTACCCGTTGAAAGCGGCAAGAATTTCCTTCCAGGGAACGAGAGGACACAAACAACAACAGGAACCTCTGTGCGGAGTGAGGGATTGCTTTGGACTCATACTATGATCTCAGCAGATAATCCATTCTTTGTGGAACAAGAACGATGAACAGTCACTGAAGCCTTTCTCCTTTTCGTCTTCTAACTGGTCTCTCTACTCGCCCGGTTCCCTGCCCTGAAGTGAGTCACTTTGCTGCTTAAAATAATTAACTGGAAGCTGGGAGCTGGAGTGCAACAGGCGGGGTGCTGCAGCTTTACCAGCGACGCAGGGAAGGTCATGACGGAGAGAGTGGGCTTGAGCGTCACATGACCGGTGGTCAGCTGTGGCCGCTGCCGTCTGTAGTCAGGCGACCTTGGACACTTTTTAGAATTTAGATTTCCGTTTCCTCGTCTGTCAAAGGTGCTACTTGAAGATGAAATTAACTGGGTGCCAGGCCATCTAGCTCTCTGTCTCCCACAGAGTAAGTGCTCAGTGAGTGGTGTTGTTATTAACATGATCTTTCAAATCCTCACATCCCGTTCTCCTTCCTGCCTGCGCCCTCCCGGGCTACCCTGCCGGGAGGATTCTCCGTCAGGGACCTGACGCTGGTCCTCTCCTGCCGAGGGTCTTGGGTGGCTCTCCCTGCCTGGACCA